GCCTTACACGGTGTTTTGAGGTGGTAATTATGCTAATCTCCTCTCGCATGCACGAGCAGCAGGATACGAACAGGTGGAATTTATGCAGCTCATTTACACACTTTTCCTGAAGATAGAAGAGTTTGTTGAATCTGACGTGACATGTTCGTACAAACCCTTTGTACGAACAAAAGTAAGAGAAATTTAGGATAAGAATACGAACATGTTCTTGCATGAGGCCCATTGTTCATAACCTTTCAACAGAACTCCACTTCAAAATATCTGAACAATCTCTTCAAACTCTTTGCAACTCAATGTTCGCAGGTTTAGTTTTAAGAAAAGTATTATTTAGTTTTTGTAAATAGTCTCATTTATACCTAAATTTACTGTAAATTTTACAACTCACTATTTCCTCAAACACGACATGAGTCAGGATCTCTTCTATCTTATTTACATGTTTCTACAGTAATGAAACTCAGCCAAAATTACAATGAAAGAAACATTAATATTAAGTTTGATTCAATAAAGCAACGTTTCAGAAATGACAAAGTGGTGATATTGTTTAATAAATGATTCAGAAACAGTGTATTTAAATGATTTTAAGATAGAATACATTAAATGTATTTAAACTACAGTAGGTTTTAGATTGAATTCTTGTAATTAAGGTTTTTTTTTCAGGACAATCTAAAGTAATAAACTGAATCTCAGTATTTTTCCTCACATATTGTTTCAAATCTTTTTGTAATCCTACAGTTTTAATTTCTGCTGTGGCTCAATACAAATCAATTTTGAAGTAAATGTATTTACTAAATGATATTTTTGATAATAAATGTTTTCACTCTTTGACTGGGCACTGACTTGTTTTTTTAACTCCTCTCACAGCAATAAAAACGAACATCGTTACAAACGTGTGAGCCTACCTGATATACATCTTCCTGATCAATAAATGAATGATTTCAGCACAATCTATTAACAGCTCTGCACATAAACTCCTCAAATCCTCTCAGGCTCTTATTTCCTCTCAGACGCCACCGCAGCTTTCACACCTGAGAGATGTGTGGCTTCACAGAAACGTTAAGCTTGTAAACAGTGTCATTAATTGAGATTTTGTATTTATATCTGACATGTGGGGCCTTTGAGGGGCTCACGCAGGGTCGGGGGATTACAAATTTGCTTTGGTCAACAGTCCAGGAAAACAGGAGGAGGAGGAGAAAAGTATTGGCACGCCGTTGCTGCGGCTCCTCGCCTCGGCAGTTACAAGTTCATAAATCCTCCGCCCAGATGCTCCAGCCTCGATTGCTCATTTAACTCGTCCTAAAACTCCCTATCAACGTCTGTAGGAACGAACAGTTTGAGGCTGTGAGTCCGTTGTTCTTGAAGCAGAAGGGTAGTTTGGTAAAACTGTAAAAGTCCCAGGTGGTCAAACGGCAGCAGACTCGTCAAGTCACTCCAGGGAGAAGAACTCTGGATTTGAAGACTTCATTTTAACATAAACCGTCTGCTTGTCTTTCCTGTATGAGTATTTATACCAACCAGAACGCTAATGCCTAGAGCTTCAGTGGGTGACAAAGAAAAAATGTGTTTAAGAATACAATTTAGCCAACACAAGTCAAAGGAGATCAACTTGAGTGTTGGAAATCCAAATGCAGACAATTCTTGTTTACTGCAGGGTTTGCCTTCGCATTTATCGTCTCCGCTCGGATTTGAGACATGGGCGGTGTATAACGATGGTTCTGTTAATGCACTCGAGGTCTGAACTTGACATTAAGTTGCGGAAATCTCTCTCAGTATGAAAAGGCGGCAGATGAGGAGCACTGAGGGAGCGGAGACGAGGAGTATTGATTTGGACAGGAGTCAGTGTGACGTGACAGAGAAAAGACAAGAGTAACACAAGAGGCAAAAACAGAAACAAGTGAAGTAACAAATGATAGATTTAGAGAGTGAACGGTGAAGGATGGATGGAGATTATGTGACAAGGATAAAGATATGAGGGAAGAGCAGAGATGGGACAATAAACAAAAACAATCAGGCAGGTAAAGGAAGATTAAAAACAACACCTACCAGGGTCTGCTGGTATCTCAGAGCCTTCCTTTGCGATGCATCTGCAGCCATTGACGCGCTGTCACTAATCCAAAAATAACCTCCCTGGACACCCCAGCATTTCCAGTGGCATTGGCAACACCATACACTCTGTCTAATATGTATTCACGCTAGAAGACAGGTCAAAGACACATGAAAAAACACTTGTTTCTCAGGTCTCCTATAGGCTTGGTCTCAAACACTCCGGTAAGAAAGAGCAGATCACTGAAGCATCGATGAGATCCTTTCCTGAACCAGATGATCCAGAGGCTGCAAGTCTTCCAACTCCACTGCAGGACGGACAGATAGAAACGAGACAGACAAAGCAGAGCAAAGCGATCTGATGAGGCAGAGGACACAGCTCTTTCCTTTATTAGAACTGCAGACACCTAATAACATGGACACACACACACACACATAAACAGAACTTGTTGCTCCTGCAGCACCCTCCCTGCCAGTCAGCTATTAGATGTGTGTAAGTGTGTGTGTGTGTGTTTGGATGGCCTGTTCTTGCTGGGACCGTGTTAGTGGTGGTGGTAGGGGTGGGAGTTGGAAGGGCACCCCCTCACAGGGCTGCCCCTGCAACGTGAGTGGAAAGGTGCACACGACACCCCCATGACAGCTCACACCTTATCAGCCAATGCAGCGAGGCATTCCCCCATAACCCTCACATGCTGTGGCAGTGCTCTCATCCTTAAATGTACCCACCCGACGGAGAAAACACACACACACACACACCACACAGTGCTCTGACAGGAAAGTGATCTCCATACTGCTGAAACCTACAGCAGGTTTCAGCATCCGGAGGGCCTCAGACACTAAAGCACATGTGTCAAATCCAAGGCCCGCTGGCCAAATGTGGCCGGTGGGTGACTTCCATCTGGCCCAACAACCCCCCCACCCCACCCCAAAAATTTTTTTAACTTAATTTATTCTAAAAATAGATTTTATATTAATGGTAAACTCTAAATTTATGATTCAATACAGCAAAATAAACAAATTTAAATGGTAAAAGATAATACTTGTTCAGCCCCTGAGCTGTTGGTTTTGAGTAACTGTGGCCCCCTGAGCAATTTCGTTAAATAGCACTGTATTGTCTCAAAATAAGCTGCTTTAAAGCCAGCATTGACTATAAACTACATCTCCCACAATGCATGTCGATTATGCATGGGAATTCCCCGTCGGAAAGTGGGAGATTTCAGAATTCAAGATGGCAGCTACATATCACAACTCAACAGTGAGCAAATCTCTTATTTTCACTTTTAATAGTATTTCTGTAATACTAAGTTTACTCTTGCAGTACTTTTCGGTGTTTATAAGATGTGTTAAAACACTGTTTCTATGCATGAAACACCACATAGAGCTCAGTTATTGTTTGTTAGCTGTGCTCAGTCGTAACAATGAGACGAGGAACTTTGTGTTTTTAGTTTAAGTTAATTACAACTGGCCCTTTGAGGGCAAATGTGGCCCTCGATGACATGCCTTCCACTAAAGCATCTGAGCTGTAACGGTGAAGTTTGGAGGTGGAAGGCAACATCTCAAAAAGAAAGAGCTGTTTCAAGTGTTTCCACTTTGTTGGTTGGTTTCTACAATCTTCTCAGCCTCATGAGACAGACAGCCATTATAACGACCACAAAGACACACAGATCCCCCTAAACTCCACCCTGCTTTGTGGTCCACATGCTAGCACATAACATCTTAATCTCCCTGCTCCATCTGAGGCCAGCAGGAAGTGTTATTCTGACCGCCGATGTGTGTGTGTGTATGTGTGTCAAGGGAGAATGACTGTGGACAGCTGGCTGGGCCTCTATCTGATACACTAAGAACACTATCAGCGGGTGTCGGCAGGGCCGTGTGAGAGGTTCATACAGCCCAGTTGCGTCGCAGGGAGACCTGAGCGCAGCGAAAAAGTGGGGGAGCCAGTTATACTATACCTGAGGAGGGCGAGGACGGGCTGTACGCCAGCAACAACACACACAAACACAGCAACAAGGGGGATCAAGTGCAGTGGAAGCATGCACAAGAGCAGAGCATACGTCCTGCGGCCTTGCATTCACAGAGCTAAAAACCAGAGTAAAAACTGACTCAGAGGAAAATTAAGAAAAAACAATGCACCTTGTTTCAAAGTAAAGTCTTATTTATTGTGCAGAATGTTTGGCAGTCACTGCTGATGACATAAAATCTCTTTAGTTTCCCCTCCAAGAGTTCAGCAGAACTCATTTACCCCATGGAGAAGTTGCTCTTTCATTTCACTTCATCTCTTTGAATGGTCTCTGAATCATAAAAACTAATTAAATAAATGACCATTTTCCAAAATAAAGTAAAACAAACATCTTAAGCTGCTTTAAAAACATATTTGTTTTCAGATGGTTAAAATCCAATACTGTTTCAACCTCATGCTTTACTTTCCTGAATACAACACTGTTGTAAATAATTACACTTGTCTGTTTAAGGCTTCTCTGGGGGCTATCGATGCTCTCAAAACCATCAAAAATAGTTTTTATGCAGAGGGAAGCCAGATCGATACAGGACACCATGAATGCACCACCACGGTCATAAGTTTATCTAACAGATCCTCCTCACATGGCACAGACTGCTGTAAGAAGCTGCATATTCGACACGGAAGACATATTTTATCATTATTGGATCAGATCCAGAGACTATATATTCACATCTCCCACGCAAAGATAAACAATAGAAAAAAAGGTCAGAAATTAAAACAAAGCTGAACGACCCTAGATGTAGCACCAAGCTCCAACCCACCACCCAGTTTGAGGAATATATGTGGGTGTAGTTATAAAAAACATTTAAAATGATGCATTTTCCTGACTAAACATTCACATGCATAAACAAAGGAGATGATGCCCTGTGACTGTTTTTTTACTGCTAGTCTTGATGATTTGATGTTCTGCTCTAATATATTTACAGCTGTCTGTAGCTAACACTGTAGCTGTCTCCAATCATAAAAATTCTTAATTAACGAAGAATAATGTCGATCAAGAGACAACGAAATGCATTTGTCTCTGTGGTGCTGCCCTCTGCCGGTTCACTGAAGTAAAAATAAACGTTGAAATCGTTTCACACAACATATACAAATAAAAAGAGATTTAAAAACATCCTATAAAATGAATTTCGTACAAAAGAAAGTGACAAAAATAGATTTGTATACAAAATACAGTTTAAAAAGGTACTTGGATGTGAAACCTCAGAGTTGTGCAGTTTGAATGAAGAACCTACAAAACTTCTAACTGGCACCAGAGTATGTGTGGATTAACAAAAACTCACTCATCTTTCCTGCGAAGAGTTCTGAGTTGTGTGCTCGTGAGTGTTTGTGTGTGTGAGGGGGATTGGAATGATCAAACATTCAACATACATCGGGTAAAGTAAGTATTGAACACGTCAACATTTTTCTCAGTAAATATATAACTAGAGGTGCTAATGACATGAAATTTTCACCAGATGTCGGTAACAACCCAAGTGATCCATCAAACCATAAATGTCCAGAAATGAAGTTATTTGTAAT